GTCTGATAATAATAGATAATAATTAATATATATATAATTAACATAATATTATATAGTAATTAATAATTGACTGTTGATAAACGGTTACATCAGAATTTTGTTGTTTCTATAATTGTATTGTGAAATAATATCATAATAGCCGAGATATAATATTAGAATATATCTATTTTCAAAATTTATCATAATTCAAATTCATTCACTGTAATAGATTCGTATATTCCTGAAAAAATGGGTAATTGTATTTATTTGAAATCTTTTCTATTCGTATAAATTTCACGACAAGTATCTATAAGATTTCGAAGATCTTGAAGCTCGAGCTTTATTTTCACCTTTCTTTTTCATTATTGTTACACTGAAGATATTGTGATGGCGTTATTAGATTGTCTTGATTACGGCGTCCCTCGTGTCACGCTTTTAATTGCCGTGGGTAAGTCGAACTGCGACCATCGCAGTTGCCGCAATTGCGGCGAGGATCCACCGGATGAGACGTGGCCCGTACGAAAATGTGCAGACGGCTTTCGGCCATTGAGGGTCGATAAATTAGAAAGGAGGTCGTAGGGGAATTGTCGTCACTGAAGAAAAGAAATTTCGATTGAAATGTCCTGAAGAAGACTACGTTTTTGGACTCTAGTTTCTTTTGCACGATAAAGTTTATCTAACTGTCAATGTCGACTTTATTTTGTTAGTTTAGTTGCATTTATATAGTAAATAGTCTTTTATGAGACCAATAGGTTTATTTGTTCTTCGGAAGATACAGAATAAGATAATTTTTATATTATCATAAATATTATAAACGAGATTCCGTATGAAAATGATGACAGCATCATTTTCTTTTTAATTTACAGGAATTTATAAACATGTTTATAAATTCCTGTAAATTGATATTAAAAGAGAGAAGGGTTTTCTACTTTTAAATGTTATTACTGTGATTAAAAGTAGATTTAAGAGAGATCATGGAACTAAAATTATGTATATATTTGACATTAAAGGAGCGTAAAATCGAAATAACGGATAAGAGCTTGTCGTAAGAGTTTGTGGTATAATAAAAATACCATATAATTCTCCCTCTCTCCTCAAGTAAGGCAATTTACCTTTACCAGCAGTCTATTGTACCCTAATCAACCAATAACATATGTAACATTGTAGTCGATGAAACTAATAAAAGCATGTTGACCGAACAATACAACACAATTTCAACAGAAACTCAATGAGAAGTATATACCATGCTTGAATCCTTCAAATACAGAATTATTCAAATCGTTATTCCAAAACGGTAATAGAAAAGAGGAAAGAATTATTAAAGCTAAAACACATTTGTTTGAATTATTAAATTATACACTGTGAAAATATTGGTATTGAGTACACTGCAGAAAATAAAATATTAATTTTAACATTTTTGCATGTCTCAGAAAGTCCACTATACGTCTTTAAGTTAGAATTAACATTTTATTTTTTACTGCGTATAAATTACTCCTTTTATTTATTTTTCTTTTCGAGATAAAGATTTAAATTTATCTTAAGATAATTGCAAAAAATTTATTATTGGATTATCTTTATTAGCTGCATTGCATATAAAGCTTTAACAATTTTACATTTTTGTATTGTGGAAAGCAGTATATATAAGCTGTTGAGAATTAATAATTTTCGACCCTCAGCTTTTATATAGTAGCTTCCATATCGTGCTTGTACCGAACAGATAAGATCGATAGAAAGTCGGAGGGGAGCAAGGCTGTTATCAAATTCATAAGATGATAACAGGAGCGGCGCTACGGAAATGAGTTTCCATAAAATCCTACAGTGAAAAGTGGTGAGAGGGAAGAAGGACTAATTAAATCTTAAAAGTCCGAGATGGTACTTTGAATCTAATTGTCAGCTCCGAGGCATTCGTGCTTTTAATGTCAGATCGATTTAGGCGAATGGAGGTAATGCATATGATACGTCATACGATGGGCTTTAATGGATTAATTAC